GGCCTTGGCATCCACCTGAGTGGTTAGCAGAAAGCCAAGCCCTGACTGCCAAAAGAGAAACCCAACAGCATTTTGCAAAGTGAATTAATAAATCAAAATGCTACCAGCAAAGTGACCCTCTCTGCCTTTTCCCACATGTTGACTGCCTCAGTCACTACAGCAAATTAACAGCAACAACATAACAATAATGATATAAGAAACCTCCCTTATCATAAAGCCTCCATCCCTTCCATTTCTGAGGCCTTCCTGCAGACATTAACCATTTAAATGTCTTCCCCATGTGCCTCTCTCCTCCACATGCCTCCTGCGAGCTTTTCAATGTTTCAGCCCCCCATAACCAAATATAGTCTCATAGGCTTTTTCTCATTATGACTCTCCTATAATAAGCTTTCCATCCATTCCATCTCCTTCTCCATAATCTCCCTCTGACCACCATCCTCTCCTAGTTTTTCCATACATAGAATCCCCTTTAAATGCCTCATGTGCTCCCCTTCAAAAGACCCCTTTTCTCTCTTTCAGCTGCCTTTCCCCCACTCCACAACTCCCAGCACACACAGGACTTCTCGATAACATCACAGCTGCCGTTATTACTATTAATAACACACATTATTGAGGCCCCATTAGCAGCTGAATAAAACACAGCATACTCCAGTCATCTTCCTTAACTGACTGAGGCCAGCTGACTTCACTGCTAAACACGGAGGCTAAATATAAAATAAAATAAAGCATTCCAATGGATTGATCTGAAACCAAAACATTATCAGTAGTAAAACTGGCAATATTATTAGTAGCAATACTGATAATATTGCCATTACAGTTAGTAGCAAAGTTAACGATACTATGAGCAACAACAGTAGCAGTATGGCAACATTACCAAAATTTAAAGGAGCAATCCCAACAACATAACTGCAAGCGATGCTAGTAACACTGCCAATATAATTGATCGGTAATTATATCAGTACCCGTATTGGCAACATTGACTGAAATTACCAGAAGCATGGCAACTTTACCACTATTTGTCAATCGCCATGCTGGCAACATTACCAGCAACAACACTGACTGTGTTTTGATTAGCAATACTGGCCACATGATCATTAGTATGTCTGTGCTAGAAATATTAACAGGGATATTATCATTACTAGATTCCCAATATTAGTATTACTAATACAAATATATTAGCAATTATAATCCATATTTCCCCATTTGCTGCCTTCTTTCCATATCTGAGTCTCTCCTCCTCCTTTTGAATACCCCATACTTCCCCTCAAACTCCTCTACTGTCATTATTACTATGCCTATTATTATCACCAGTACAACAGTATCAATAGCAACATTGGCAACATGATCATCAGTAGCAATTGCCTGCACTGGCCATCTTATCAGTACATGTCAATAGCAATATTGGCTATATGTTCATCAGCAGCAAGACACCAGTGTCAGAAGCACAGGCAGGAATATTAGCAATATTAGTTGCAATATTGGCTATATGTTCATCAGCATCAAGACACCAGGAATATTTGCAATATCAGTTGCAGTACTGGCTGCATGATCACCAGTATAAGCTGAAATATTAGCAATATCACTGCTATTATCCACAGCAATATTGGCAACCTGATCAATGCTCTCAACTCAGCAGCGTTGGAAACACAGGCAGGGAAATTAGCGATATAAGTTGCAGTATTGGCAACCTGGCCACCAGTAGTAACACACCAACACTGGCAATATCGGCAGGATTATTAGCAATTATCAGTTGCAATATTGGCTACATAGCCACCAGTAGCAACTCACCAGCACTGGCCATATTGGCAGGAATATCAGCAATACTAGCAACATGGCAACTCACCAGCATTGGCAGGAATATCAGTAGCACCATTAATCATTCGCATCTGTGACATTAACAATATTATTAGAAATAACAGAGCCTCCCTCCTCTCGCTCTTTTCCATGTTGAGTCTCTCTCTCTCCC